GAAACAACTGCCTGGTCCGTCATGTTTTAACCGCTTGTCTACGGAAAGTAACACAGCCCAATTAGTCAATTTAAAGTTAAACATCCCCTTATCTTCATTACATTTATTATGTTCCCTTCCACTAGATATATATGATTAGTAGGAAATAATGTTGTGTATAAGTCCATTGCTTCCTTAAAAAAATAATTTTTGGTTTTTAAATTATTTTGGTTTGGTTTGGTTTGGTTTGGTTTACAGCATATCAATACCTCAATGGGTTATTTAATGCCGACAAGATTTTTATTGCTTCTAATATTTTTTGCAAAAATGTATTGCTGATAATAATGTATTGCTTGTAATAAATATTTACAAAACGTATTCCTGGTAATATTTATTTCATTCAAATATGTATTGCTGATAATAATTTTTCCTTAAAAATTTCATTGCTGGTGTTAAAACCTATTTTTACACTTTCACAGTACTTTGACCCCCGTTTGGGGGTTAATTATTTTTTATGCTATCCCCCCGGGACCCTAACAGGTGCTATCACCCCGGGGCAGGGTGGACCTGGGAACACCAACAATTAAGAGGTGTTTCCACGCTCCTCAAAGCCTCTTGGTCAGAGGCCTTGCTGTCGGATGTAGTTTATTGTCTTACCCAGGACGCGGATGTAGTTTATCGTCTTACCCAGGACGCGGATGCAGTTTATTGCTATACTCAGAACGCGTACATTATTCTACATCCTAATAACACCTCATTACCTCTCAGTAAAGAGGATGAATTTTATAATGTTAGAACATAACGACAATTTATATAATATTAAAACTCCTATATTATATGCTTGGCTCTGAGATAAAACTTAAACGCTACATAATGCAACAACCAATTTCATCCTGTCTATATCTCTGAGATGAGGTATTATGATTATTTACATTATTCAGATTATTCGGACTGTTATCCTCATCTTCATTGCCATATTCACAGCGTTTCGGTCGTTGTACGCCTCGGCCTTCTTCGGGTGATTGAAATTTCGAACCGAATCTTATATTTTTCTCACCGGGGTAGATTCTTCTATTTCCATGTACCATGCTTCTTCTCAGTTATTTCCCTTTAACACAACTCCCCGTCAACTGTCCTCAAGAACACATGGCTCAGTGGAAAAAGCGTCGGTTAGATTCAATGACTAGACCCAAAGAAATGAGTACAGTACCAGACTACAGGAGGGGTGAACCAAAGAACTTGAAGAGTTGAGTTAAAGGAAAATAACTGAGACACCCGGAAGAGGCATGACACGTGGAACTTGAACAATCAAGATGCCAATCCAGTAGCACGCTTACATTCATGCAGTCGAGGCACGAGGAAAAAACGTAACAGAACTGTTACCATGAAAATATTTGTATAAAAGGCAGTGGGAATCCATGTTGTGAGAAAGTGACTGAAGTCGAGATGTCAAGTGAATATTGATTACATTCCAGATCTTTCTTTGGATTTTGTCAAGAATCTCAAGGTATACAGCAGGAGCACCAGATATGGCAACAGTATTCCATGCACGGGCGAAGGACAGATATCTAAATGTGTAAGATGAACTCTGACAAGAAAAATTTTCTGGCACGACATGGTCGCCCAAATTTCCTTGCAGTAGATGCAGCTACTGATTCGATGTAGTCGTTACACTTCATGTCAGTGGAAAACGTGAAGCCAAGAATTAATTCTTGCTACCTAAATGCACACGTGTGCGCGCGTATGCGTGTGTGTGTGTGTGTAAACCACGTTTAATTTTGTGTGCGGATCAGTGTATAAACGTATATCTAGATGCAGAGACATGGCGTCGGCCATAATTTAATTTTTCTCCCCACCCTTTGCCTAAATCCTTGCCAGCTTTTATTATGCGTTCTACGTCTTTAATCTTCTCTCTTCCGTTTCGTTCCTGCCTCTGTCTATCTCCTATGCACCGTTCGGCACGCACTTGTCAAGGTGAACTGAGAGGGAGGGAAGAGAGGGAGAGAGAGAGAAAGAGAGAGAGAGAAAAAACTGTGAAACCCTGGCGAAATAAACGCCATGACTCAGCCGAGATAATTCGCATCTGTATCCACAAATATTGTAACTCAAATTATGAACATGGAAAAACAATCAGAAGAGGAAAATGATGTGGGGAGGAAGACTGCGTTGCGTCGGGCACCTAAGGTGACTAGGACTCTCAACCTAGGAATCGGTATTAGAGTCGCGAGCAGAAAAATTACAAATTATGATGAATAGATATGCACTTAGTGTTCGGCCCGTAAAACTGTCATCTTTGCAGGAATAAGGCATCTATCTTAGAGAATTGCTGACTCAGCTTAGCTATGTCTGCCACAAGGTCATGAGAGGGAAATTACATGCGAACCCGTTCCATTACATTTAAGAAAAGAGCGTTCTAGCTTATGTTTTAGTTAAGGGTCTTAAAGACATATGATTGATAAAGGAACAAATATATTTACCTGTTCTCTTACTCAGGTGCGTGGATGCACACACGCATTTTAGATCTTATCTCTTTGTCTCTCTATTTCTCTCTTCATATATTGCTGATTGATTCTATGTATGATTATTTCTTTATATATAAAATATATGCTGCCTAATATTGTATGTTTATAAAAAAAAATGATCCCGCAGTATGAAATTCCTGAGAAAAAAAACTAAGATATATCACTATATTAATTGAACTATATACTTAGTTCATGTCATGTTAACTGAAAAACACTTCTATAAAAAAGAATTCGTGGATTTACCATATTACAAATTTTATATAAAAATTCTCACTTGAAATTTTGAACTTTAGCCTTGCGACCCGCACGTTCCGAGATTGTACAACCGTCAATAAATAGCACATTCTTAAAAAAACATCTCTCGGTCTACAAATATTTATTTCGTCTTCAAGTTTTAACTTTAAAGGAAAAAAATTACAGCCTGATGATGAAAACATGGATCTTCGAAAGTACTTGCTTAACTTAAAAAAAGTATACACTAGAAACATCTGACAACAGTTTTATAAATGAGGATCACAGCATTCAATGGATTAACAGTATTTTAATGCATACATTATGTTCTACTAGCGAATATATATATATATATATATATATATATATATATATATATATATATATATATATATATAATTATTTATTCGAAAATTATAGCATAAATATGTTATAAAATCACTACAAAAATAGCCATTTTGTTTCAACACTTCCGGTGTCTTATCAAGTGATGGCGTTGAATGTAAAATAAAGGGTTTTAAAAGGTTCTAATCAATTGATTTGAACGTTTTAAATCCCTTTATTCTACATTCAACGCCATCACTTGATAAGTCACCAGAAGTGTTGAAACAAAATGGCTATTTTTGTAGTGATTTTATAATATATTTATGTTATAATTTTCGAATAAATAATTATATTCTGTCTATATTTCTGAAATGAGGTATTATGTACAGTATTTACATTAGTCGGACTATTGTCCTCATCTTTGTCGCCATATTTGTCACAACGTTTCGGCCGTTGTACGCTCCGGCCTTCTTCAAGGGGAGAGAGAAGGGAGATCACCGCCCCCTGTGGGATCATGTTGAGATCATCGACAGGGAACACCATTGGAAAATTCGTAAACTTAATGAATCAGCACATATGCTAGGCCACAAAAATTTCCTGAGCCGACCAAGCATAGAAATAAATACAATATGGGAACCAGTAATAAGGAGTGCCAGAGAAAAGCAATGATAACAAAGTTGCAATATGAACTCTGGTAAAGACATGCAATGATAACAGCAAAAATTGCAATATGAGCACTGGTAAAAATGATGCTGAAAACATTAGGTTTATAATACTCAGAAGTTCATGCCCAGATGTCCTCTAGTACACATGGCACAGTGGATAAAGGTGTTGGTTAGATCCAGTGACAAACCCAAAGAATGTCAGTTCAATACCCGGTTAAGGCAGTGGAGAACTTTCAGAGGGAAAATTAGCTGGAGGTAACTGATAACTGACATCCATGGAACTAGAACAGTCTACCCCAGTGATCGAAATAAAGGATTCAGTTCGAAATTCCAACCACCTGAAGAAGGTCGGAGCGTACAACGGCCAAAACGTTGTGACAAATATGGCGACAAAGAGTCGGACTAATGTAATTATTGTAAATAATTATATCTATTCTACTCTGTATTGAGCACTTTTAAGTATTTGTTGGTTATTGGAATTTATTCCGTATACACCAATCCTATACTTTATATATATAGTACCTATGTTTGCTGCCAGTCTCCGGGGACTTTATTACTATGAATGCACTTGATATAGTTACAAAAGCTTAAAAACATTATGTACCAGAAGTACCCTAGTTCTGTTGTTAATATTTCAGTCTGTTACGTGGTACGACATCATAGACTGACATCATGAATTTACGACCTGCGTCAGTTATTCCGCGACCGTTATCGTCGCATAGCAATCGTCTATGTCAACATAACAGAATATCATCTTTGATGGCGAATATCTTTGTTTAAATATCCGTATAACCACTCTGATGATAGCTCATGTGAGCCGAAGGCTTAGCTCGCGGAACAGCATAAAAAAATATATTCAAATGTCGGACAATTTTTGTCTTTATTGTCTTACGAAATTAAAGCCACAATACAAAACTTAATTAAAGCCACAATACAACGGCTCATGAGCTAACATAACTGACATTCGTTATATTTAACAATATATGTTTGAATAATAATCTGCTGGCCCAATACACTAAATATATATATATGTATGCATACATGTATATATATATGTATGCATGCATGTATATATATATGTATGCATGCATGTATATATGTATGTATGTATGCATGTATATGTGTCTTTGTGTATGTAGGCAACATATTTTCATTCAGTTTTTTGATGTTAAGAAAATATTCATAAAAGGAGGCGCCACGGTTTTTTCTACCCCAACTACTTTCGATCTTTTCCAAGATGATCTTCACTGGGTAAATTACAAAGACAGACTTATTGTAACTGCGATAAAATCTGCATTTCGTTGTGATGGTGATTTTTTAAAATACGTACAAACGCGTTCTGTTATTGGTATTTTAAAATTTTAATTTATCCATTGTAGTTTTGGAATTTTTTGCAAAGCAACATTCTGTCAAATTTTCAACGCAAGGTTGTTGTTCTCTTTAAGAAAAAAAATCATCCAACTTGGAGACTGAAAAAAATGTCAAGAGTTCTTAAGTTTGAACATCAGATCTACCATTTGTGTTTTTGTTATGTTTTAAGCGACTAAATCCCTATCCTTTGCTTTTGTTTCAAATAACTGTAAATAAATTCGGACAATTAAATAAACTTCACCAAATTTCCCGTTTTTTGTGGTCCAATTTGTAGATAGAATTTTACTGACATAGATAGATAGATAGATAGATAGATAGATAGATAGATAGATAGATAGATAGATAGATAGATAGAAAAAAAGAAAGAAAGAAAAGGATAGATAGATAGATAGATAGATAGATAGATAGATAGATAGATAGGGTACCCCACATAAAACCAGGCAAAGGAGTGAGATAGATAGATAGATAGATAGATAGATAGATAGATAGATAGATAGATAGATAGATAGAAAGAAAGAAAAGGAGTGAGATATCGACAGATTGACTCAGATAGATAGATAGATAGATAGATAGATAGATAGATAGATAGATAGATAGATAGGTAGATAGATAGGTACCCAAAAAAAAAGGAGAAGGAGTGATAGATAGATAGATAGATAGATAGATAGATAGATAGATAGATAGATAGATAGATAGATAGATAAAAAGAAAGAAAGAAAAGGAGTGAGATATCGACAGATTGACTCAGATAGATAGATAGATAGATAGATAGATAGATATAGATAGATAGATAGATAGATAGATAGATAGGTTGCCCATAAAACCAGGCAAAGGAGTGATAGATAGATAGATAGATAGATAGATAGATAGATAGATAGATAGATAGATAGATAGATAAAAAGAAAGAAAGAAAGAAAGAAAAGGAGTAAGATATCGACAGATTGACTCAGATAGATAGATAGATAGATAGATAGATAGATAGATAGATAACGAACAGAAAATAAAATACACAGGGTTCCACACTAAAAAACAGGAAATTTGTGATTTACTATATGATGAAAATACATTAACGAACATATAAAAGGAATTAACTATATATTTTACTAAATTAATGAACTAAAAAAATCACTAACATGTACTTTTTTTAAACGTTTGTTGCACCAAGATGTCGGCAGTTATCAAATATTCAACGCGAGATTGTTGTTCTGTTTAAGAATGAATATCCAACTTGGGGAATGAAAAAAGTACCAAGAAATTTTACCGCAGTTCTTTACTTTGGATGCCACATCGAATACTTGTGTTTTTGTTTTGTTGTAAGCGACTAAATTTCTATCCTTTGATTTGTTTCAAATAACTGTAACAAAAATTCCAACAATTAAATAAACTGTATCAACTTTCTGTTCTGCAGAGGGAACTATAGCTAAGGATGGTTGGTTGATTTTCTTTAACTGTATATTAATTCCTTTTGGATCATTTAATGCCCTGATTTAATGTTCCTGGGAGCTTTCAAATAATAAAAATATGATATAAGTTATTCGGCTTTTCACAATTGAATACTTTTCTATGCCATCTTGAGAAATGTAACGAAGGGGTTTCCTGTTGCATTCTTAATGTTGTGACATCTTAAGATGTCCTGATCTTTAAAAGTTTGACCCAAATCTACAGAGCCCTGTCTACTTTGTGGAGTGAGCTAAGGTTGATTGGTTGATTTTCTTTAAGTGTATATCAACTCCTTATGGGTCATTTAATGCCGAAATTTAATTTTCCTAGGAGCTTTCAATAATAAAAATGTATGTTATTCTGCTTTCACAGTTGAATACATGGTAGACAATACTCAGCTTTTATGCATATACATGTTTGTGTAGACATAATTTCTAGAGGCGGTGATATGTGTGTTTTATGTTGTAGTTTTGTTGAAGGTATATTTTGGAATAGAATTTGATTTAATTCAGAAATTATATGGACTAATGTCATAAAAGAATCATTTCATGTTGATTGCTTGGTTGCATTTGCTTAGCGACATATCTATGGATTATCTAATGCTGAATTCTAAATATTCCGAAAAATACTATGGTTTTTAACTAAATATATATATATATATATATATATATATATATATATATATATATATATGTCTCTGTGTGTGAGCGTGTATTCATGGCTCATTTAATGACGATATTTGATATTCATTGAAGTAATAAAAATATGATATAGGTTTCAACAGTTGAATACATGGTAGACGATACTCAGCTTTCGTGCATTTACATGCTTCGGTGAACATAATTACTAGAGCCAGTGATATATGTGTTTTATATTGTAGTTTTGTTTAAGTTATATTTTGAAATACAGTTTGATTTCTTTAAGAAATTGTAGGATATTAATATGGATTAATGTCATGAAAGAGTTCTTTCATGTTGGTTGTTTGGTTGATTTTATTTAGCGGCATATCAACACCTCTATGGGTTATTTAATGCCGAAATTTTATTTTTTGGAGATTAATAAAAAAATGTTATTCTGCTTTCACAGTTGAATCCATGGTAGATGATACTCAGCTTTTGTGCATATACTTGTTTGTGTGGACATAATTACTAGAGGTGGTGATAGGTGGGTTTTCTGATGTAGTTTTGGCGAAGTTATATTTTGCAATGAAGTTTGAATTCTATAAGGAATTGTAGGTACAAATGTAACCTCAGAAATGATTTGATTCATTCATTTTAATCTTACTAATTAACCCATATATAGGGAGATAATAGGTCGATTCATACGTTTCCCAATAGTATAAGTGTAAATGAATATAACGAACCCAACTGGAATTGGAACTCAGCTCTTCAATTAACAATTCCGAGCCATGATAAATTACACAACCTGCACTCCAAACTTATTGCACCTGGATTTCCCAAACGGTCACCCATCTAAGTACTGACCAGAATCGAGGTTGCTTAACGTCGATGTATGGGAACCGGTGTTTCAATGTGATGTAGCTGTAAGCCGCTCTATTTTTAACGCCCTTATAATTACCTATTTTCATAACATTGTAGTAGAAAAACACAACTTATACACAGAGACAGCAAATTAAAGCCAAATTTATACAATTATTAGAGAACTAACTACACGCCATTTTTCATCTAGCTAAGTCACACACACGCCAAACTCTACTCAAAACAAATTTTAAAACAAACACAAATATACCAGATTGCCGGCCATTATCGACGCGACTCTCGCTTACCACAGATGTCTGCAATTACATCCGTGCGTTTCCATTATATAGACTATAAGAGAAGCCGCACAATGAACTGAAAACAGAGAGTGAGACTTCACGCACGCACTCTAACCGTAGAGACTACCCGGAGCACGACTGACTGCTCGTCCGACCATTGGGCTGTGAAAACGAACCGCTGTGAACACAGAAAGAGAACGGACGACACTATCAAGTCCAAACAGATAGACAACAAGCAGTCAGCTGGCTTAAGCAGACTTCTTTTTCACGCTCTTATTGTACACCCTACATTTTGACGCTAATCTATACGACTTACCAGAGACATTTTTATATCCTGTAAATTAAAATAAACCTTTAGTCATTTCTCCAAACTTGTTTCTTTACTCCGACCAACTTCCATTTCGGATCAAGATCAGCACATCAATGACCCAGTTTTTAAGAAACGATTTTTACCGCGTATTTATATAGCGATTCTCCAAGCGTAGCTTAGAAAGTAGGGGGTACCAAGTGAGGATCGTAATCACTACTCAATCGTAATTGTTCTAGCGAGACAAGCTTGCCAACCATTACACTGTCTCGAGGTGCCCAAACCACGTATTTATATGTCTGAAGATCGCGTGACATATTTTGTTTTCTGGACAAACCTCTGTCTAGGGTTAAAACCACATTTTCTCGAACAAAAATGGCGGACCGACATTGTTTTTCTCAATGTGCCACGTATCTGTAATATTTCGTGGCAATATTAATTTATACCGGAGACGATATATATAATGAATATAATAAAAATTGGCTATTTTTTATCTTCTATTTATTTTGCAAAAAATAATTCAATATCAAAACATATAAAAAGTAATAAAAAATAAGTAATTTATTAACAAAAAAATATATATATATATATAACCTTAATCATTATATATGAAAAGTGAGTCTGCTTCTTCTTTGTCAGTTTGATACGGTAGTACAAATACTGACAGCGCTGGCGGTGTACCGTTTGGATGGCATCTACCATTTCTTCAAATGATTCCTTGGCATGGCCTGGATACTGGCCGCGTACCAGCAGCTGATGGTCCGCGGACCACCACTTTGAGTAGCACAGGTCTACACGGTCTTTCCTTCAAGATGAACAAAGATTCTGTCTAGATATCAGGTCAAATATTTGAACAGATTCTAACTCTGCGCAACGGAGAGGACCTTCAAAAATGAATCTCAGTGAAACTGAAGAGATCACAGATGTCACATACTATTTCATTTTATATTTAACACAAAGATAGTTTCATCAAATAAACTAACCGCTTCGTTGATTTGAGATGGAATAAATCAGGTGCATATTTGCATTGTTTGACGAGAACAAGTTTTTTTTTTCGAAAGCAAAGACTCGAACGTCAATTTCTTTAAACAAGTGAGGATTTTAAAATATGCGAAAAAGCTTAACACGTCACCGAAAAGAAAGGAAATTATTTTGTAATGTTCCCAGGTTTTCATCTGAATACGATGCGTCATTTTCTCAATGATACTGGTTTGATTTCCCTAACATTGGATGAATATCCTGAAGAAACGAAACGCGTTGTAAAAGTAAGTTTTCCTATTTCATTGACTTTCAGATATATTTATTTATATTGCATTTTTCAAAACACACACACACATACACACACACATATATATATATGACGTCACACATTATGAAATGGACAAAGTCCGACAATTATTTTAAGACATTTTTTTTTATGTTTATACATTCTTTTTATAGATACGAATATTTAAGTAAATGCTCTGTTTATAATAAACAGTATTAAACAACATTTACCGGCCTGAATGTCCGAGAAATTTTCACAGACAATATTCGTCCTCCGACAGGATTCGAACCTGTATCCTATACGGAACTGTCATTTAGTTTGACGTACCATTAACCGAACGCTCCTCTGTGGCCAAATCGGTTAAAGGCACGTCACGCTAAATGACGGTTCTGTATAGGATACAGGTCTTTTCTTAAAATTGTTCACCATTCTCTTGATAGTTCGCGAGTGGAATTTGAAGACGGAAGGCAGTGTATGAATGTTGATACAATTACGGAAGTCCTGAATGTTTTTATTCGCACCATTGCTCCGTAGAGAAGGCAGTGGGGCGGATACAATTTTAACCTGTTATCTTTCTAACTGAGTAACTCAAAGGATTTTCAGTGATTCTTATGGTGTCAAGATGGCTACACATCTGAAAACCAGATAAAAGAACGCAGTTCCTTTAGCGTTTATTTTTTATATTAAACATTATATGGAATGGATAATTATGCTGTATCAAGATTTCGACAATTTTGCTGTTACATCCGGTGTGTGTGTGTATATATATATATATATATATATATATATATATATATATTGTTATAGCCATTATTTAAAAATATGTTTCAAATATTAACTTCAACATAAATTAAGAAAAAGTTCTGTCCCATGTTCAAAACAATTTTTTTTTTTTTTTTTGAATAATATAATTTACTTGTTTTAAAATTGAAACAAGTAAATTTCAGAAATACGTTATTCCAAAAAAAAAAATTTTCTTGAAGATGGAATTTTTTTTTTTTAACTCAATTTAATTTAAATAATTATATTGAAGTTTTTTACTTGTTTTGGAAACATGAGACTTCTTATGTCGCGATTTGGAATCATATTTTTAAATAAATAATTATATATTTATGCTCTACTTTTTTGTATCGAGCACTATTTTTAAAAATAATAACTAAAATACTAAGGGACTTTTGGATTATTTACCTAACCAGTTCCTTCCTATTTTCTATATATTTTTCAGATACATATATATATATATATATATATATATATATATATATATATATACACGGATTGAAGAATCGGAGACCTGAGTTCGAAGTCCAGTCGAATCCATTACATTCACTTATGTACTAATACCCTTTGGGAAAGGTATCCTTTACTCCTCCCTCCAGCTATGGGTAAATAGCAGGGCAGACTGGGTTCTATAGCCTTGGGTGGCAACTCGTCAAGGAAAAGAACAACTCTTAATTCAAAACCTGCGGAGGTTCGTTTGGGGACCTTGTGGCACGTAGTGCATTAGGTCTCTGTATTCGGCCCTTCAAAAAGTGTGGTTGGTTCTGCATAAAGCCTTCACAAATATAATCAAATCATATGTGCTGGTATCTGGGCTGTTGGTTCCTAGGAACTGAGTTTGCTTGACCCTCATAAGTCGAATACGACGGGAGAGTCCACCATTTATATGAAATGTTTTGATACTGAAAAAGTTCAACAATGCTATAAATAATGCTAATGAAAGCAGTTTAGTTCTATTAAAAAAAGTATATAAGCAATCTTTCGGCTAAAGCCTTCTTCAGAGAAATCTTTTTTTATTAATACTGACAAGAACAAGGAAAACATTTAGAGGACTCGCACAGTAGGAGCACACACTGGCACAAGCCCAAAAGTTAAAAAGCATCTTCTTTTCAGTTGTTACAATTTCTTTCATGCATTGTACGCATATTCTTTTTTCTTGATATTGTAGTTTCGTAGACTATGTTCCCATATTTCTCTTATATTAAACACAAGCAGTATAAATGTAACTCCTCATGGCAGGTTTTGGAACTTGTTTAGGGCGGAGGTATCACAAACTTACCAGCCTCCATCCGAAACATACTAATAGAAAATATAAACATAATAACCTCATCTACATGTAAAAAAGATTAAAAATAATGGAAGCCTTAATAATAAAAAAAAATGCCAATATATATAAGCTCTGTTATTATACATAGTACACTATTTTTAATACTCACTGTGTGATATATACAGTGTAACCCGGATATAAGAGACCCGGATATAAGAGAAACCCAGATATAAGAGAGATTTTCTCTGGTCCCAAAGTGTTCCCATACTTACCTAAACAAAATAGACCAAACCCGGATATAAGAGAAACCCGGATATAAGAGACTTCTTCTCCGGTCCCGACAACTCTCTTATATCCGGGTTACACTGTATATAATGTATATTTAGGCAGAAACCTTTCTTTTACATATTTTTCCTTAATTATGACACACAAGGAAAATTTAATTATTTTTTTTTTTATTTAGATCGCCTGGTATTCTGAAGCGGTTACCCATCTAAGTAACCTAGGTGCGATGTTGCTTAACTTCGGTGATTGTATGGGAAACGGAGTTTCAACGTGATATGGCCTCAAGCATCTCTGCTTTATTAGCTGCACTTTACAAACAAAGGATTACGATAAATGGAATGGTTTCTCGAAAAGTAAATACAGTGTAACCCGGATATAAGAGAGTTGTCGGGACCGGAGAAGAAGTCTCTTATATCCGGGTTTCTCTTATATCCGGGTTACACTTACATTCTGTTTTAAGAAACATACAATGAACCTGAAAAATAAATTACGGTTAGCGTCAAGTTTTATTTTATATTTGCATACCAGATATTTTTGTTTTTTTGTTTTTCTATATTCGCGATTAAATATGGCTTATTAGTGACAACAATCTAATGATATTATTTATGTGTTCCATAAAGACAAGACAAACAAAAAAAATAATGGTTAATCAAAGAATATGAAGAAAATTAATAAACGGTGGTCAGTAATTTCCGGTAATTGACGAACGTGGCCGGAAATTACAGAATTAAAGACGCTAATTTCTGGTTGTCTGCTAAGGAAAAGAATTGGAAAAGACGGTTACTGAGATTAATATTTATCTAAAAATCTCAACCTCTACTATATTCTGTTGTCTTCGAAAAGAAAAAAAGAGGATTTTAATCAAGATTTGAGGTTTTTCGATCTCACCTTCAGTGAAAATGTTAATTTGCTTTATTTTAATCCAGGTTTTTTTTTTTCAAGGACTTTTTTTTATCATTTCACCCCAAGCAAAGCAATAAAGCCACTAAAGCGCAATGACTTACTGAGTGCGACAGAATAAGAGAGAAAGAAAAACATTGTAGAGAGACCACAGTTGTTTTCCCTTGGGTTGAGTTCATGGGAGTTTGGCCCCTTTAGAGAGTAGAACTCTTCTGTCTTTTTTTTTTTTTGTCTTTGCTTCCGTTTTTTTTTTTAGGAACGGCCTCTTCACCTTTCTGACCACCACTGACACACGTGGAAACTGGTCAACATGTGCATGGCCAAGCGAAAGAAAAAAAGTAATTTCCATTCACTTATCTGCGGACTATCAAAGGCCATATAGCTCAGTATTTACATTAGTCGGACTATTGTCCTCATCTTTATCGCCATATTTGTCACAACGTTTCGGCCGTTGTACTCTCCGGCCTTCTTCAGGTGGTTGGAATTTCGAACTGAACCCTTTATTTCGATCACTGGGGTAGACTGTTTTAGTTCCACGTGCCATGTTTGATGGATGTCAGTTATCAGTTATCTCCTGCTAATTTTCCCTCTGAAAGTTCTCCACTGCCTTAACCGGGTATTGAACGCACATTCTTTGGGTCTGTCACTGGATCTAACCAATGCCTTTATCCACTGTGCCATGTGTCCTTGAGGACAAAATATGGCGACAAAGATGAGCACAATAGTCCGACTAATGTAAATACTGTACATAATACCTCATCTCAGAAATATAGACAGACGCCATATAGCTCGTATGTTATTTTTTCTCGTTCTGTAAACCTCCTCGTTCCTTTGGGACAATATGGACAATCATTTGTTTTGGGACGTATGTAAATCTTTTGAATGTATGTACGTAAGCTGTTTGCCTTATTAAATGTTTTGTTTGTTACGGTCGCGTATTTCGTTTTTCTATATTCGTATTCAGTGTTAGTGTATCAATGGCTACACTAATGCTAATATTAGTATCGGTGTGCTGCTGGAAGGCTAAAACACGTTATTTTCCTAACACAAAATAGTCGGTAAACTCTGTGTGGTAAATGCCACCATACTAATAACATTTTTAAGAAGAGGGAACAATAAGTGTACAAGAATTAAAACTACAAAAAAAAACTACCGATTGTCATTTCATATAAATTTTGGAAGATCGAGGAGGTCGGAAGAGTTCCATTTCGCAAGAACTTAGAACTTACGGCTGCATCTAGCCATTTAAACTCTAAATTGATGAAACTTAGTCACCAATCTAGTACAGGCTGAGTATGCTTTATCAAAAATTCAAAAAACCTTCAAAATCCGAACGTTTTTCAGGTGTCGACATGACTTTCAGAACGCTCTGGGAAGGTCCCTAAGTGATGTGCAGCTGTTGTAAATAATCTCGTCTGCCCTAGGTTGGGATTAGTTAGCCTAGCTACTTAGACTACGATGGCGCCAGTTTTTTGTTAGCGATCGTCACAGCATCACTTTCGTTCGTGGATTACTTACCAATTGTTCAGAAAAGGTATTCAAAATGTCAAAAAGTCCTGCAGATCCCTATATGAGTAGTAAAGAAAAAAACAAAAGCATTTATGTTTATCAATATCACAGAAAAACTAGACAGGGATGTAAGCTTCTGACTGAAGAGTTTGGCGTTGGAACACCCACCATACACGATACACGACCCGAGGTTACAGCATAGATAGTTTTATGTTGAATGTGACGAACAGAAATTAATAAAAAATAGAAAAGCACTGCAAAGAGCAAAAAAAAAAAAATGATGATCTCGATCGTGTATTAATGGGGTGGATTTGTCAGCGTCGGAGTGAACATATGCTACTTATATATACCTACTGCTGCAGGCCGATATAAACGTTGAGGGATAAACACGTGTCACCTGCAATGCCCACAACAAAGATGGCAGACTCGGAATACGAGTCCACGTAAAGAAATGTAGAGAAACGACAAAAACCTATGCAGTACATAGTTAACAAAAGGTTGCCGACCCCATATATATATATATATATATATATATATATATATATATATATATATATAAAATATATACATATATTTATTAAAGACATTTTATGTTTAACGTTGTTATTTTATAGATACAAGTATTTAAGCAAATGCTCTGTTTATGATAAACAGTATTAAATAACATTTACCGGCCTGAATGTCCGAGAAATTTTCATAGAAAATATTCGTCCTTTGACAGGATTCGAACCTGCATCCTATATGAGATTCATGGAAGATTGAAGTTTATAAGCAGTAAATTCGACCTTGTCTACCGAAAGGTTCTTTGTGGCCGAGACGGTTAAGGCACGTCAGCGTAAATGACGGTTCAGTCGAATCAATTACATTCACTTACATGCTAATACCCTTGGGAAAGGTATGAATGCTCTTACTCTCCCTCCTGCTATGGGTAAAATAGCAGGACAGACTGGGTTCTATAGCCTTGGATGGCAACTGGCCTAGGAGAAGGACAACTCTGAATTCAAACCTGCGGAGGGTCGTTTGGGAACCTTGTGGTATTCGGTGCACCAGGTCTCTGTATTCGTCCCTTCAAAAAGTGTAGATAGTCCTGCACGAGGCCTTCACCACTATAATCAAATCTCATGTGTCGTTGTCGGGCTGTCGGTTTCCTGGAAACTGATCTGCTTGACCCTCATACATCGAATCTCGACGGGAGAGTCGATTATATATATATATATATATATATATATATATATATATATATATATATATATATATATATGCAAAACAAATGATAATATATTAACAATAAAGGGTAACAAGTGGCAAAAACATTGTGCCAAATGAATGTGAAAAAAAACTAACGGTCCTCATTGTATGCACCACGTATTCTCTCCTTGTACGAAATTAAAACTACCTTATTTAATAACTCTCTACCTTGAGTGGCTTTTGGGCTTTATAGTGGGTCAACAATAGTATTAAACATATGGCTCAAAATTGTCCTACGACTTAAATAAGAAAGTAGAATCCTTCCATGGCCTAATTTTGACACGAACGTTCACTATCGGAGGTCATGCTACTAAATTCAGACGATTACGCAATGTTATTTATGCAAACAGCAATTTTTCGGCCATGTCCCTTCAGAACCCACGCGATTATGGTTCTCTGTATATTCATTTTCTTTATTATCTGGGAATAAATGTGAAAACCTTAAGGTTAAAGTATGTGTAGCGAGTCAATGTGCGTATGTGGGTTTATGAATTTCCCAAAAAGGGAGAAAGCGTATTTTTTTGTTTTTTCGTGAGAGACTTACATGTTGACGTGTAAGCGGAAAAAAGAGTGAAGAAATGATAAAAAAATGTCCGCAGTGTATTTATAGTCCGGAGAGCGTCTCCGAGGAGTGGTTTCGAAAATTAAGAGGACGACAATACTCCCCTCCAAATGGGTAGAATTTATTCTGCCTATATGTAAAGTTCGTGTAGTTGTTTCTGCCCTCGAGAGCTGAAAAGAAATGGTGTCGTAAGTGTGGTTGAGATGCGTGATGTCGACGAAATGTACTTGTGCTGTCATCAGGCTGGCTATATATTTCGTCTAGCGGCTCAGAGTCGGAGCCAGTTCTGGAAGATGCGTCGATAGTGTAAATTGTTCGGCGTTTGCTATTAAAATTTGTCTTTCTCCAATTCTCCACGTTCAATTGGTTTTGCCGTCCCGTTGTATTTGTTCCCGTTCGTTGGAAGGGGTTTTGTTTGAGAAAGGCCTTCTTTGTTTGCTATTCGTGGATAATGTTGCTGGCACACAAAATTTAACAGAAGCAGTGTTGTGGCAAAGCTGAGCTGATGTAGAATGCCTACAGAGTCTCGAATGCATGTTTGAGAACTTTAAGAAAATTTGCTATGATTGTCGATTGCATATCGTACTTGTAAATCCTTAGTGTTGTTCGAATGAAGTCATCGATAAGTGAAAAAAAAGGACAGTGAGTCGCATTTTGAGATGTGTGACACTTTATCTGATTAGCCAAGAAGAAACAGTGTTGATTAATGTTGAAATGAAGTTGTATTTTCGTTTTTTCGACAAAAAAATTCAAGATGTCTGCCGGTTGAGGTCAAATCGCGCATAATGGTGCCTGAAAGAAGAAAAGGGACAAGCCAGTAGGGAAGGGAAATGTGTGTTGTGGCCTACTAATGGACCAATGTACAAATAATTAAAAGGCGAATAACGATTTTGTGTTGCAAAACAATCTATTAATCGAGTCAGAGAAGCATGTATTCCGTAGATATGTTGTATTTGAAATATGTGCACTATTTACACTATTCGGACTATTGTCCTCATCTTTGTTGCCATATTTATCACAACGTTTCGGCCGTTGTACACTCCGGCCTTCTTCAGGTGTTTGGAAT